TAATTAACAAACATATCTAATTGACTAAAGTAAGGAAGTCCCACCAAATTTCATTACAAACTATAAGAGTTATTGCAAATTTCCTAAGATACCTTACTGTCTTAAGATAGAACACCAATTCACTACAAAATGGGGATTTTTACCTTATTATAACAGCCTAGGAAATGAAACAGAATTATTAGTGCAACATAAATCTATTATATTAATTAACAAGCATATCTAATTGATTAAAATAAGAATATCTCAATAAATTACATTGAATATTCAGAAAATTATGGCTTATTTCCTATGATGTATAACTATACAAGCTTACACACTAATTCATTAAAAATGGGAGTAATATTACCTGATTATAACCTCATGGTAAATGAATCAAGTTATATAAGCAACATAGTATTATTATATTAAGTTATACCTATATCAATTTGACTTATATAAGAAAAAATCCCAACAAATTTCATTGAAAATTAAGAAATAATGGCTTATTTTCTATAATGCCTTATTAATAACTTTACCACACTAAATCATTGAAAATTTGGGTAAGTTTACCAAGTTATAACCTTCTGGTCACTGAAACAAAGTAAGTAAAGCCAAATAATGTTATACTATCAAGTAACTACTACATCTAATTGACTAAAATAAGAAAACCCCATTGAATTATATTGACAATGAAGAAAGATAGGGTAAATTTTCTATGATGCCTATTTGTTCAAGCAAATACATTACATCTTTAGAAAATGGGGGTAATTTTACCTTATTAAAACCTCCTTGGAAATGAAACCAAGTTAGTAAGGCAACATATTACTATAATATTGAGTAACAATTACATCTGTTTGATTGATATGGAAAAAACCCACCAAATTTCATTGAAAAATAAAAAAAAGTATGACAAATGTCCTATTATGCAGACAGAGGGGTTCAGATCCACTATCAGTAAGGAAGTGTTCCCTTCCCCGTCAGAGGACCATTACTTGCATGGTATATGGAATCACAAAAAAGATACTGTAAAACTGATTTTTTCATTTTTACAGCTCAGAACTGTTCACTATTGAGGGGAGAAGATGTGCAAGCAGACTGATAGCTTAGCCGGTAGTCAGCTTCGACACTGTATTCAAGGGGTCCCTGGCTCAAGTCCCAGTCAGGCTGCATATTTTTTACACCCTTTGACATTTGACTCCCAACAGTTAGTAATAAAACAATGTGAAATTGGCCTTGAAGTTTCATACCATCACCTATTCCAAAGGGGACTGTGATGGATGTTATAAAACTCAAAGTCCTATTTCACATTGTTCACTGTACCCATTCAATGACGAATTTCAATAAAGCAGGGGAATATGTAATGGTTCCGAACTGTTCACTATATAGGGAGATGATGCGTAAGCAGCCTAATACAATATAGTTCAGTCGGTTGAGTGGCGGAACGGTATTCCAAGGGTCCCGGGTTAAAGTCCTGGTGAAGCAGCACCTTTCTTTTTTAACTTGTGACAGTAACAAAAAGGAAGGTATTAGGCATTTAATGTTCCTTAATAATAATATAGCATATTATAACATATAGAGCATAAAATGTCAATAAATTTCAATTTCAATACTATGAAACATATTTTCTGATGCGCTGCTCTTTTGGTAAATCCATATACTTTACAGTTTACACATGATTCACAAATTATTGGAGTCCAACACTCCTCCCCTCCTGGCACTTATGGATCGCGGTGCATGACCTGGTTGACAAGTTTCTCCATTTTCCTCATTTTTTTTCTCGCTTACAGTTTCGGGCCCAAAATAGAAGTTTATTCTTAATATAACACTTTAATTCATTAAAATTTCATTAGGCTTTTCACACTTCTATAATCGTTCTTATCTGTTATATTAAAACATATTTTATCAATATCTTTTTATGGAATTTAATTTTTTGAAATAAAAAAAAATAAATATATGCATGTAGTTTTACAGCTGATAATTTTTTCAGAACTCATCAAATTAATATTTATTTTCCCAGGGAAATTTCATTATATGTTATATCACCGAAAAGCTTTTTTATATCAATCATGTTTGCAAGTATGTTTTATATTATATCTGCTTCCAGAATAAAAGAGGATTTTCCGAGTGTCCCTCTTTTTGGCCCGTTTTAGAGTTATTTCTTTGAAAAAACACACTAAAAAATACTGCTTTTTGGGCAAAATAGGACAACAACAGAAAAATTTTAGTAATATATCTTTATTTTTCAACAATTTTGTTCATACGTCTGAACAAAAAAAACAAGAATAGTGTAAAAATAACAAAAATATTAGCAGTTTCAAACTTGTTCATACGTATGAACAAATTTTTTTCTCAACTTGTCAAGATTTTGTTCATACGTATGAACACTGAATAAGTTCAGCAATATTTAGTATTTTTTAACAAAATTTTGTTCATACGTCTGAACAAATTACCTCACATACTGAAAAACAGCACATAAATAAGACAGACGCTTCAATGTTGTTCATACGTATGAACAATTTTGTTTTCAACTTGTAAGGTTTTTGTTCATACGTATGAACACTGCATCACAATCTTTTGTGGTCATTTTGAAACAAATTTGTTCATACGTCTGAACAAAAACTGACACAGAGCAAAAAACAGCCACTTCGATTTTGTTCATACGTATGAACAATACTATTTTTTTTTAATTGGCAGGTTTTTGTTCATACGTATGAATACTGGCATAATTTTGTGATTATTTTGAAACAAATTTTGTTCTTACGTCTGAAACAATTGTTCAGACGTATGAAATGTTTTCAAATAACCACAAAATTATGAAATTATGCAGTGTTTATTATCATATATGACTATGAAAAAACCCTCACAAGATTTTGTTCATACGTATGAACAAAATCGAAACGGCTAATTTTTTGTCGTTTATTTTTGCTCTGTGAGTTTGTTTTGTTCAGACGTATGAACAAAATTTGTTTCAAAATAACCATAAAATTATGCAGTGATCATTATCATATGTAAGAAAAAACCCTCACAAGTTGAAAAAGAAATTTTGTTCATACGTATGAACAAAATCGAAGCGGCTTATTTTTGTCTTTATTTTCACTGTGCGGGTTGGTTTTGTTCAGACGTATGAACAAAATTTGTTTCAAAATAACCACAAAATTACTGAAATAATGCAGTGTTCATACGTATGAACAAAATTGAAATGCTAATTACTTTAATGTGCTATTTTCGCTGTGTGAGTTAGTTTTGTTCAGACGTATGAACAAAATTTGTTTCAAAATAATCACAAAATTATGCCAGTGTTCATACGTATGAACAAAAACCTGCCAATTAAAAAAAAAATAGTTTTGTTCATACGTATGAACAAAATCGAAGTGGCTGTTTTTTGCTCTGTGTCAGTTTTTGTTCAGACGTATGAACAAATTTGTTTCAAAATGACCACAAAAGATTGTGATGCAGTGTTCATACGTATGAACAAAAACCTTACAAGTTGAAAACAAAATTGTTCATACGTATGAACAACATTGAAGCGTCTGTCTTATTTATGTGCTGTTTTTCAGTATGTGAGGTAATTTGTTCAGACGTATGAACAAAATTTTGTTAAAAGATACTAAATATTGCTGAACTTATTCAGTGTTCATACGTATGAACAAAATCTTGACAAGTTGAGAAAAAAATTTGTTCATACGTATGAACAAGTTTGAAACTGCTAATATTTTTGTTATTTTTTACACTATTCTTGTTTTTTTGTTCAGACGTATGAACAAAATTGTTGAAAAATAAAGATATATTACTAAAACTTTTCTGTTTTTGTTCTATTTGCCCAAAAAGCAGTATTTTTTAGTGTGTTTTTTCAAAGAAATAACTCTAAAACGGGCCAAAAAGAGGGACACTCGGAAAATCCTCTTTTATTCTGGAAGCAGATATATGTAATATGTATGATGCACATATAATCAAGCCACTGGTTCATTTAAACCCCAAAAATATGTCGAGGCGACGGGCGAGGCAAGACATGTCAATTTTATGCAGCTTATTGTGAAGTTACAGTAATTGAAAAATGGGCACATGAAAAACCAACACAAAAACTTTAACATTCTAGTGTTCCGTGGTATACTACTTTACCACATGACATACGTCATGTCCTCGTTACAATGAAATTTCTTTTGATATTTATCTATCGCTGGTTTGTTTTGAGCAGAGAATGACCCGTGCATGTGCAAAGAGGGTACCGTTTGAGTAGATTTCACAAAGAGGCCACCGATATGGATATGCACCGAGTAATTGTTAGACAGGAAAAAAACGTTTCAAATAGAAACATGATGGATGATTACATAACACTTTTTTATGTAACTTTGGTTTACCACTTATAATTTTACTTAGTTTTAGATTTATGTGTAAACTTTTGAGTAATATATACATAGACCATGTTCGAGGGAAATAGTTTCTGTTTTCAACTGTACATATGTTTCCAATGTATATCGTGTCATTTTGTTATCAAACTATTCCCGCATAGAAAAAAATATGTATGCATAACGGATATTATATAAATTAGCTTCAGTATGCATACATATATATGCATAACGGGAAAAGTACAATATTTACATTAGAAATATGTGTAGCAATGGAATTACTTGCCTTGAATATTGTTTAGGTTTATTAACATTGAAATATATAACGAAAAGCTAGCAAACAGAGCTAGCGGTAACACAATGTTACCGTTTACAAATGTCGCTTAATCACCCGATGTTTTAAAAAAGTACCTCACAAATTGTTAAGGTATCAAATATGCATAACATGTAGGTTTGATTTCAATGTATTCAAGAATTGTTTACAATAAAACAAACGTTATAAGGAAAGGTATGTTTCAAAAATGAAAGATATCGATGCATTGAGTGAACAGTAATGAGAGTTTGGTTATAAACTATACAGGTTGATATATCATCAAATAAATCATATGAATATGAAAGCTATGTTATTGCTTAAACTGTCATTAAGTTAATAAGAAAATGAAAAAAAATATTTACCTGCAAATCTGACGTCTACAGATGCTGGAGTAAAAAGTTGATCTCCTGCACCAGTTATTGATATAGCACCACACTGAAACATCACAGTGGTATCTGTATTGTCAGTAAACGCTGTGTTTCTTGACAATGTTAATGTAGATGTATATATTTTCTCAGAGTCAGAACAAACACCAGTTTTCTCGGTTACAGGTGCTGTTGTTGACCATTCCTGACGTGATCCATCAGTCTATAATGCAACAAATGTATTACATTGATAGCATAATTGACATAATCTTTAAAGAGATGACTACAAAAGAAATGAATATATTTTTTATTTGACGATATTTTACTATGTATTTGGTTTCAGATGGTTAACTTCTTTACAACTTTTACATATAATTCGTTAGTGATTAACATTACCTTACTATACCACACTATTTATAAGTGATCAAATTACCTTATTATAATACCATATAAAGTTTGGTGCAGGATATGCACATCCTGTACTACAGCTAAATGTCACTGATGTTTGAACTAAGTCTTGATTCTGGCTTGGTGGATTATCATACTGTAGTGAAGGAGTAATTGCTGGAATGGAATAAATGAGTGGTATTTTGAAAGACAATATAAACATTTAATATTTGTATAAATAATAATTTGTTTATAAACTTAGATAAACTGAGAAAATGCTTAAGATATCTAGTTTATGCTAAATATTCGTGACAGACAATTCTTACACGCTTCACATTATTTCCCTTTTAAAGACACAGGGCAATCAAGTGCAATAGCACACGATATCTGATAAGCAAATATGGAAAAGAATTTAAACATAAAATGTTCGAAAACGTAGTTTATCTTGAATAATTATTTACGCGTTTCGCTCAAAAGCTTCATCAGACCATATAATTGGCGTGATTTCAAATAAATAACGTAACGCCATAATGCTCAAAAAAATCAAACGTTTCGATCAGTACTGTAATCATTGCCACCAGGATGCCACATGACAGATTGATCATTTGAGACAGTTATGAAACAAATATTTTCCGTACACAATCAAGAATTGATCTAGTTATTAAGGCCATAATTCTTTATATAGCCAGCTGGAAGTAAAGGTTGGTGAATTCAAAAAGTAATTGTACCATAGTTTGGGGACCTTTCTGTAGAAAATGTGTCCTAGTTAAATCGTATACATATACATATTAGTTTCCCGCACTCCAGAGCATGCCCATTGGGTGGTTCATTTTTGCTGGGGTTTACTTATTATGACGGCAGAAAAATGTCGTATTTAGATGATCGTTCATTGGTTACTTTTCTCCGGGATTTTATATTGTGACAACATGGAACGTCGTAGTTACAAATCAGATAGCCTCGTGTTTCGATGCTCTTTCTATTACCTAGTATTTAATCCTTTATAATTCTTGTGTATTTGTGCATTTTACTTATTGATCAGGAATATCAGTTGAAATTTAATATTCTTTCAATTTTAATCTAAGAGCCAAGACTGCTTAAAAAGAATATTTTACATAAGTTATATAGGCATTTCCTCCAGAAAGCTTGGGCCCTACCCAAAGGTTAGGAGCCATTGGCTACTGGGTCCCTGTTCATTTATATCCCTGTAATGGAAGCACGATGGGAAGGAATTAATAATTGTCATTTATTAGTATTGACCAACTGATAGTAATAGTCTAAAAAAACCCTAAATGTCTTTATTTTCAATATTTTATAAAACTTTAGAATGAGAAGACATATAAGCATATAAAGTTCTTTATTTTTATCACAGGTTTATAATAAATGTTCCTTCGTCAGGGCGCAACTATTCAGCTTTTCCTTGATTTGATTCTTGATTATTTATAAGCGATTCGATTATTTTGGATTTGATTATTAAGGCTAACTTAACATTAATTTTCTATAGAGAAAATTCAAAAACAATATTGAACTACACATAAACTTTATTTAGGACAGCAAACAAAAACATACTGAACAAAACTGTTAAACAACATAGAGAACAGAAAACATATCATGTTAACATTCAACATGTTTTGATTGGATAAGCGAGAACGCGTTGCAAAGTAATGAAACGCTTGATTATAAAACATTCAATTAATATCAGAAAGGAGAAATTATTCACTGAAATACAGACATTACAAATCGTAGTTGTAGACCTTAGGAAGAAAGGTAAGTATAATGACATGTACTCTTTACAAACCACAGCACGATTACAACACAGTTTTAGGTTGTGCTCAAAAGAGGAATCTCAGAATTATTTTGAATATAAGCTTTGTCATGAGAAAATATATCTTTGGTGGTTTTGAACAGGTCCGACTACTGTACAGCCCCAGTTGATCGCGTAAAACACTGTGAAAGTCTTGTGATCCAAATGCCAAGTAAAAACGATATGTGAATAGAACAAAATAGGACATTTCTATAGTGGCTGATTTTGGTACGCTTTTGTGCGTTTCAAAACGGCGCGTTGTCGTGCGGCGTGTTGTCGCGATGTCACATTGTCGCTCGGTTCCAAAACGAAGAATTGGCTTATAAGCCAAGCGACAGGGCGACATCGCGAGAACGCGCCGTTTGGCGCTTTGTCGTGTTGTTGCTAGCTCCAACTAGACGCACAAAAGCATACCAAATCAACCACAATACATTTTTTAGTATCATCTCGACTCTTTTAAAAACATTTAAATTGATTTTGAAACAAGATTGCATTTGAGAAAAATGCTATGCTACCGCATTATAAGCTCTATGCCTTGTACCTTCAGACAAAAATATTTTTTATCTTTTACTATATGTACATAATGAACATCAATGACCCCCGGGCAATAATTTGAACAATCTTGGTAAAGGTTCACTTTGCAAAGTCTCATGCCATATATTTAACCTCTAGTCTTTGTCAATTCAGAGAAGAAGATTTTTCAATTCAGAGAAGAAGATTTTCAAGTTTTTTACTTTATCTTATAAGGAAAACTATCGCTTCTGGGGCAGGGTAATTTTAACACTAGGGGCATAATTAAAACAACTTTAGTAGAGGGACTCATAGATGATATTATATACCAAAATCAAAGCTCTAAGCCTTTGTACCTTCAGACAAGAAGATTTTTTAATTTTTTACTATATGTACATAGTGAAAATCAATGACCCCTGGGGGTGGGGCCAATTTTGACCCCAGGGCTATATAATTTGTACAATCTTACTAGAGGTTCACTACATAATGTTTCTTGCAAAATATCTTAACTTTAGCCTTTGTAAATTTAGAGAAGATGATTTTTGTAAGTTTTTACTAATATACATATAAGGAAAACCTATTGCCCCGGGGCGGGGCTAATTTTGACACTAGAGGCAAAATTTTGAAAACTTTGGTAGAGTACCTATAGATGATATTATTTAACAAATATCAAAGCTCTTAGCTTTGTACCTTCAGACAATAAGATTTTTGACTTTTTTACTATATGTATATATTGAAAAATCAATGACCCCCAGGACGGGGGCAATTTTGATCCCAGGGCTATAATTTGAACAATCTTTCTAGAAGTTCACTTCACAATGTTTCATGCAAAACATCTAACCTCCAGCATTTGTCAATTGCTTGAAGAAATTTTTTTAAAGTTTTTACTATAAGTTTTTTACTATATACATTTAGGAAAACCAATGAAACCCCGGGGCGGGGCCGATTTTGACCCCCAGGGCTATAATTTGAACAATCTTGCGTAGAGGTCTACCAGACAATGCCTTATGGCAAAATATCTAAGCTCTTGGCCCGTTTGGGTCTTTACAAGAAGGTATTTTAAGTTTTTACTATGTGAACATATAGTGAAAATCAATGACCCCCGGGGTGGGGGGCCGATTTTGACCCCCAGGGCTAATAATTTTGAACAATCTTTGGTAAGGGTCTCTACCAAGACAATGCCTTATGCAAAATATCTAAGCTCTAGGCCTTTTGGGTCTTTAAAAGAAAGGTAAATTTTAGGTTTTACTACATGTACATATAGTTGAAAATCAATGACCCCGCAGGACGGGGCCGATTTTGACCCCCAGGGGCTATAATTTGAACAGTCTTGGGTAGAGGTCTACCAGGACAATGCCTATGCAAAATATCTTAGCTCTAGGCCTTTTGGGTCTTTACAAGAAGGTATTTTAGGTTTTTTCTACATGTACATATAGTGAAAATCAATGACCCCCGGGGCGTGGCCGATTTTGACCCCCAGGGCTATAATTTGAACAATTTTGGTAGAGGTCTACCAGACAATGCGTTATGCAAAATATCTAAGCTCTAGGCCTTTTTGGGTCTTTACAAGAAGATTTTTTATAATTTATTTCTTTATAATTTCCTTTTGGTTGCCATGGCAACCAGTATTTCTGCATGGAATGTAATTCTTTGAAAACAACTTTGGGCAAGCCCTTCACCCAAGGATCAATCCTGCCCAAGTTTGGTTGAAATTGGACTAGTGGTTTTTTCACAAGAAGGTTTTTTTAAGTTCACTATATAATCCTATATATAACAGACACACACACACACACACACACACGCACACACACACACACACACGCACACACCACAAACAACCAATCAAACGTGGAATCGCTATAAATGCCACCGCAATCGCAGATTGCTGGCGGGTGGCATAAAAAAAAATGAAAATGTGATTTCCTAACCCTTTCCTCTGGACCTGTGCGCCAGATATTTACCTCATTTATGGATTGGCATTGTCGTGCAATCTTATTTCTGTTGTGATTTCTGGTATGTTTAAAACATGCACTGCTTACTGTAAAATCAGAAATTGTTGTGAGTGTTTAATTTTCCCTTTATTTGCGAATTCAATAAATTATCCTCGTTTAAGTATTACCTTATTGCAATAACTAAATTTTTGACCTTGCAAAATATCTGATTTCACAATATAAAGAAAATTTCTCATAACATAACTCAAAAGACAATGTTTTCACACAAAAATAACTACAGAATAATCATGTTAACCGTAAAACAAACCCTAATTGATATATTATTTAGAATTTTTCCGTTTTACAGACGAAACGGTGTCAAAATTTGACCAAAATAAATGGCCCTGTTGAGATCGGCCCCTTAAATATAAGTGGGTGCGGCAAAAACATCTACAAGTATTAACTACGGGCATTCTCATCCCTATATAATGTTTGATAGCTATACAATTATATATATAAATTGTTATTTTAGAATGGCTGTTATTGTTTTTTAAACCGAAAAAGATCTGGTTAGTTTTAAAAATAATTTTACAAACATATTAATACTGTGCATTCAAGGTTAGAGCCAAGGGTGCTTTACCTTTTATTGAGAGTGGAAAGCCAGGACACAAGATCATGCAGGTGCATATTCGGGTACGGTCCCTTGCTCTAAATGACATCTTCAACTGCAGGTTTACGATCTGTGAGATTGTGCCATTCTGCCCTGGATTCTGATTATGATTAAAAAGTTGGTCTTAAAATTCCTAAAATTGCCGATAAAATTGTAAACAAATAATAATCGGTGTTTTAAATGTATAATTCAATTTCTTTTATAAAGTAAAAAAAAAATAAACATTAAAGAATTTCTGTTTTAGGGAACTGGATTCTTTTTACTT